TTCATTGAGCATTATAGTAACCTTGTACTAGCCTTGTCAGACAATAAAAATTTGCAAACTTCTCCCGGTGGATAACTTGCTTCTTAATGTCCAACATTTCTGTCTCCTCTACACTGTTACACTTGGAATGAAGCTGGTTCTGTTGTCTAAAATATCCATTGAGCTCTTACTTTGGGACTTTTAGACAGTTGTACATAGTTGAAAACATGCTGTTCTTATGAGAGTGTTTTCACTGATTCCCTCTATTGGATGGAGAGACCGCAAGGGTGAAATGGAAGCAGGCAAGAGAGTGTAGTTTGCCATTTTAGACTCGATTAAATCTATCTAATTTGTTCGAAGATGTGTGATTTTCGTGATTCTTCTGGTAGGACATTTGCGTTTTGGATATTTTGATCCCATCTCATGATCTGCTGTGGAGTGACTTATTTTCTTGTCTTGGATTTTTTGGTGCTCTTGGTTGAGAGCATTGAGACAAATTTTCTATAAGCTTCTTATATGTTTCTTCGTTCATGTTCTTTTAGCTTACTAATTTGCATCTAATATCAAAATTTCAGGTATCAACAAGAAGGCATTAACTGGTTAGCTTTCTTGAAGCGTTTCAAGCTTCACGGTATCCTATGTGATGATATGGGGCTAGGGAAAACATTACAAGCATCAGCCATTGTCGCATCTGATATAGCCGAGAGGCGTAGGACTGACAATGGCAAGGCTATCCAACCTTCTTTGATTGTTTGCCCATCAACGCTTGTGGGCCACTGGGCCTTTGAGATAGAGAAGTATATTGATGTTTCTCTGGTAAGCACCTTACAGTATGCTGGTTCTGCTCAAGAACGGATGTCTCTTAGGGAACTCTTTGATAAGCACAATGTTGTTATAACTTCATATGATGTTATCCGCAAGGACATTGAGTACCTTGGGCAGTTTCTTTGGAATTATTGTATTTTAGACGAAGGACATATAATCAAGAATGCCAAATCCAAAATTACAGCCTCGATAAAGCAACTTAAAGCCCAACACCGCCTAATACTCAGCGGGACTCCAATCCAGGTAAGCATCAGTCGAAGTTGCATGGATAGAGCATCATGCTTTATCTGATAACGGTTTGTTTTGAATTGCAGAACAACATTATGGATCTATGGTCACTGTTTGACTTTCTGATGCCTGGCTTTCTTGGAACGGAGAGACAAGTAAGCATTTTTCCTTAGTTTAAAGTGGATCATTTTAATGTTTTGCTCATAAAGATATATCTATATTCCATTTCGAAAGAATATGATGGTGCTTGAATGATCCCTCATCCTAAACTAAGATGGGGAGTTGATTGTACGAGGTTGGACATTTCTGTACATGCTGGTGAACTGTTTGTTTTGGGTTTCAGTCGTGTCTCCTCATGTTCCTGAACTATTGAATCACTTATTGTATGTCAAACTGGCAGTTTCAAGCTACATATGGGAAACCGTTATTGGCTGCTAGAGATGCGAAATGTTCTGCCAAGGATGCTGAAGCTGGAGCACTTGCTATGGAAGCCTTACACAAGCAGGTTAGGTCCCTTCCGTATTCATGAAATTAATTAGTAGAAAGTCAGCAAAATGACAATGGAGAAGAAACCTTACATAATAAATTACACAATCATAAGATGGTTGTCCATATATATTATCTATGGTGTCCATACTCGGTGGCTTAGCTGTCTGTGATCTCAGCTCTCCACACTCTATGGGAACTGTCTATGCAGCTTCCCCTAGAGGGCGCGGGCTATGTTGGTGTGTATTTTGCCCGTAATCTATTGATACCTTGGTTTGTTTGACTACAGGTGATGCCGTTTCTTCTCCGCCGAACAAAAGATGAAGTTCTATCTGACCTGCCTGAGAAAATTATTCAAGATAGATACTGCGACCTTACCCCTATCCAACTGCAACTCTATGAGCAGTTTTCTGGGTCGCATGCTAAAAAAGAGATTTCTAGTATGGTAAAATTGCACGAGTCAGCAGATACTGAAGGAACTACTGCCTCACCTAAAGCATCTGCTCATGTTTTTCAGGTACTATATACTTTGCTAAACTCTTTCGATTTGTTTAGATGGGTATAGTCCATTTTGTATACATTAATCATCTCTATATGCACTTTATTTCAGGCAATTCAGTATTTGTTAAAGCTCTGCAGTCATCCATTACTTGTTCTTGGTGTTAAGATGCCTGAATCACTCCTATCCCAGCTATCTGAGTTCTTTCCTTCAAATGCTAATGTGATTTCTGAACTTCGCAAGCCACATCACTCTCCAAAATTAGTTGCTCTCCAAGAGATCCTTGAAGAGTGCGGCATTGGTGTAAATACTTCAAGTTTTGAGAATGTTGGCACTGTTGGGCAGCACAGGGTTCTGATATTCGCTCAGCACAAAGTAATTTGCCCTATAATGGTTTTGGTGTTCCCAATCATTTTTCTCAAAACGTGTTACTCAGAAGTTGTTCTCGTTTTTTTAGGGACTTCTTGATATCATTGAGAGGGATTTATTTCATGCTCATATGAAAAGGTGACTTTCCTGTTGCCTATATTAATATCAAATATCTTGTTCGCCTGTCAGTGTATTTTACTAGTTTGTAGTGTACAAGATATTCTAGGTGAATGATAGCTTTGCATTCCCTTGCCCGTTTATGTGAAAGCAAGTTATCAGAGCTCCAGTTAGGTAGATACACATTGGTTATGCTTGCTTTTCATTCGACTATAGTGGTTGTCTCTTCTGATTTCTTCGGAACTTTTCTAAAGCAGTGTCACATACTTGCGGCTGGATGGATCCGTAGAGCCAGAAAAGCGATTTGATATTGTAAAAGCATTTAATTCCGATCCGACCATTGATGTCTTATTGCTCACCACTCATGGTAAATCATTTCCTTCCTAACGAGTCTTCCTGATATGAATTGAGCATCTTTTGGATGATTTTGGCTTGTACTGTAATCAAGTGAATCAACAATATTGTTTGTTCTGTTTTCAGTTGGCGGGCTTGGGCTAAATCTCACGTCTGCTGACACACTCGTCTTTATGGAACACGACTGGAATCCAATGCGAGACCATCAGGTATACCTTTGCTTCTTTTTTTTTTCTCTCTCTTCATTACATCTTAAGTGAGTTTTGCTTAATCTTTTACCTGTGGCATTATGTGTAGTGGGCTGAGTTTGTTTGGGGCACTGAAATATAAAGTTCCCATTAAGGATTTCCTGTATTGATGTCCTGTCATTTAACGAGCATGGCTTACAAAGTTGAAATATCAGTGCAATGCTAAATGAGTTTGGAAGCTTAGCCACATGATTGCAGTTTAATGGATCCACTATATATACGGGCATTTGCTTCTTTTCTTGTATTGAATGTTATGAAGGGAGATAATTCTGTGGCTTTCTGCAGGCAATGGACAGGGCGCATAGATTAGGCCAAAAGAAAGTAGTGAATGTTCATAGGCTCATCATGAGAGGCACCTTGGAAGAGAAAGTCATGAGTCTCCAAAGGTTCAAGGTTTCAGTTGCCAATGCAGTCATTAACTCCGAGAATGCTAGTATGAAAACAATGAACACCGACCAATTGCTTGATCTATTTGCATCCGCTGAAACCACTTCAAAGGTATATGTTTTTTTTACTAAACACAAGTTACATCCATTTGACAGTTGGGGTGTGTTTATTTACCTATCAAATCAAATTTTTTTTTGGGCCAACCTATTGTTTAGAAAAATACAACCATACCCATATAAGCATCCCAGATTTCCGCTAACCAAACATGGTTTGTTTTAACCAAAACAGGGAACAACTGCCTCAAAGCATGGAGATGGTAAGTTTGATGGAGACCTGAAGCTGATGGGCACAGGGAAGGGAATGAAAGCCATTCTGGGTGGTCTGGAGGAGCTATGGGATCAATCCCAGTACACCGAGGAGTACAACCTGTCTCAATTCCTGGCAAAGCTCAATGGCTGAGAAACGAGAAGCCTCTCAAAACTCAACTCAACGTGTCTTCTGTACAGTGTATATTTTCCCTCCCTGGTTTAGCTAGGAAGCAAAATTTTGACGTTCTAACTGCTTTTAGCCCATTTTCAAATTTCCTCATGAATTTTGGCTGAAATTATTTTTGTTGCCAACTCTTATACGAGCAAGCAGTCAATGTGGGTAAAAAAAAAAAAAAAAAAAAAAAGAGAAGGGGGAGAAAAGAGAAGATATCCTGGTTCTATCCGAACGAAAGGCACTATAAAGTTTCCAGCGAGAATAGAGTCACTGAGTATTTTGTCATTCAGTCAGGTCAGGTTCGGTTCCTTCCTCTTACATATTGTTCTGTGGTAGTCGAAGAATCCGCAGCCACAAGCGAAGTCACCCTTGTTTTTGTCTGAGATCCCGTGTGCTTTATTTTCCTGGGACTCGTTGGCAACAAGTTATTGAGGAATATTTTGGACCTGGAGTGGAAAGTATTCAACAGGAGTTGAATTTGACATGCAGTTTCTTTGTTGTTATAGTCAGCTTTTTCTATTCCTCCGAGGATATGTTAACATTTACATCCACTACGTTGTTGGAAGACATCATCAAGGGTGCTGATTGTACAGTTTTGCTGGATCTATGTAGCAATCAGTTATCATGTGAAATTTCCAAACAGTTTGGGTAGCTTGAGGAGGCTTCTCGCACAATAGCTCCCTCGGTCGAATGCTAGCTACCTTCAGCCACATTAGGGTTCTGGAGAGCTAGGATTTATCTTGTAACAATCTATCCCAAGTGCTGATTCTTATGCAAGCAACGATACCTGGTTGTGTCGGGTGCAGCTTAGCAAATGTTGCCGTGTGGTGGGGCTTTTGCTCCAACGCAAGATGCAACGCTTGAAGGAGTGGAGAACGAGGGAGTTAGGGTTTTCTTGAATGACAATAGGAATTGGATACATTGCTGACAAACAGTAAATGCAATTTTGGATAAACAGAATTGCCTAAACAGGGAAAATATCAGACAACCAGAAAAGAGTGAAATCTTGCAGTTGCTTGCTCGAATTCCTTGGTAATTGTTTCTTATGAAAAAGACCACTCCAAATGTTCTTGGCAAGAATGTAACAGTGAAGCTATGTAGAGATTGGTCTACATGTTTTAATCTGTACAAAAAGAGCTATTTACACTTTGTTTTCAATCCCAGCTCACACAATTATACAATTTGTTGGCTGGCTGGCTCTGATATCTGTCAGCCTAAGATTAAGAAATACATTTAATTTACGAAGCATATATATAGCCCATTAAAATTTCACCTTTCAACACAACGGTTGAAATGATAAAAGTCTTGGGGTTGTAGTAGTTCATCATTAGTAACATGTTGTGCACTAATCTTCTCCGACCTGGTAACTTGACGAAGCACGATATACCTTATCTGCGTATGCATTAGGAACGTAAACGGCATCCATGAGAGAGCTGTGAGTCCGACCATAGAACAAGTAGATAACTGCTCCAATCAGCAGCCATACTGATACTCGGAGCCACGTCCCGCCCTTGTATGCATTTCCATTCATTAGAGGGTGAAAAATGGGAAAGATCAATGCTTTCTTTGCTTAAATTGAGATATACATTATTTTATTCTGCCGTTAATATTAACTCACCCCAGATTCACCAGCAAGTACGTGTTGACAAGAATGCAAGCAAGTGAGCAACTGGTAGGAATGGAACGAAAGGGCAAGTGAAACCTGGAAAGATTTCGACAATAGTTTATCCATCAATGGCACTGGGCAGTCAATGACTCAATGTCTTGGTGTGCCTCCCATTATCCTGAGCTATCAGACCACACAAAAGAAGACCTCCACCCACTATACAAGATGTGAATCGTAGAATCCTGTAGAGAAAAAACACAATGTTCAAAATCACAAGAACTGGTGCAGGGTAGATAACATTGGTAGCAATGAATCCCTTTCACATCTGATATTCATAAGTTCGAATATGATGCACTAACACAGGCTTAGAGGCAACCAATTGGGGTTTCAAAAGCAATTGTGGGATATCAATTGGGGTAGCATTCAATACGAATCAACAGAGAGCAGTACCTAGATCAATTTGTTTGTGACAGATACAAGTTCTAATCGAAGTCCCTCCACGGTGTATGCCTTCACCATGATCAAAGAACTTGACGGGATCCTTAAATTTCAAGCTAGAAACATCCTCAACATCACCACCACCAAGCAGCAAAGGTGAAGAAGCATCAATAGACTCAAGAAATGATGAGGCAAGGGGGACTACATCTGGCGGAACGTATCAGGAAAGAAACTGCAACAGCAGCGAACGCAAGTATTGTACCCACACTCACCTTTAAAAAAAAAGGTGAATGAAAGTTCTAGTATTCATATTCACAAACTTGCATGAATTTTCTTGACAATCCACTCACCATCCATGCTAACTGTGAAACATCCATGAAAAATGCTAGGGCTGCAGCAAGAATCCCAATCACTATCGTGCTCTTCACTGGAACCTGGGTGTGTTTATCAATGTCTGAAAAGAATGACGGTAACAATCCATCTCTAGCCATAGCCATGAACATCCTGGGCTGAAAGGAAATGATGCCTGTTAACATGTTACCAATTAAAGGAAGACAACCACAAATCTTTTTGTCCATAATCTCATCCGTAATGTTTCATTTGGCAGGTACATGATAACAGCTGGGGCAGTAACATATCAGTTCTTATTAGATAGTTTCATACTTACACTGCCCACTGCATCCCATATGAAGCAAAAGCTGAAGAGATTGGTGTGTCTGGATCAAGTGCAAAGTATGGCACTAACCCAACAAAGACAACAAAAACAAGCATGTATAAAATACAACATATAGATAATGAGATTCCCATACCAATAGGCAAATCTCTTTTCGGATTTTTCACCTGTCCCAGAAGGAAACCATAGAAGAAAACAATGTTAATGGAGCCCACTGTTCCACATCTTTAACTATTTTCTTCCTGTTTTACACACATTAAACACTTTTTAATCAGTGTTCATGTAATATACCTCTTCAGCTGTGCTAGCTACTACATCAAAGCCAATGAACGAAAAGAACACTATCCCAGATCCTGCAAGCATCCCATTAAATCCAGAAGGAAGATACCTACAATAAGCAGAAAAATAGGGTTGGTAAAAACTAGACATCTCAACTTAAGGGCATCCCCGGAGAAGGTATACCATATTATACTGGTTATTTACCCGGAAGCCAGATCATATCCAGGCCAGCTGTTATGATAAAGATCATCCCGCAAATGTTTATTGTCGTGACGACAGTTCGTGCCAATGAACTCTGTCAAACAGCAAACATTACCACAGATAGAAAAATAAATGCGAAAAGATCCATGACAATTCAAGTGATTCTGAAAGATAAATTCAAAATTCAGAAAGCAAGATATATTATCAAGCACCTCTTTGATTCCCAAGCACAAAAGTATAGTCACAAAGAGAACCAGCACTGCTGCACATGGATCTACCACGATCCCCAGTGCCGGGATGGTATGGCGAGCCAATAAGGACGACACGTTTTCCTGTCCTCCAAAAAACAATGCCTGCAAAATATCAGTGCCGCAAAACAACCGAAATTCGAGAAGGTCCCAAGATAATGAAGGCGAACTTGAAGTAGGGATTAATGGAAGATGAACTGAACCAGATTGGGAGTTAAGCCACGAGCAATAGCTGAACCTCCAACTCCAAGAGTGTATTCAAGTATTAAGTGTTGGAAATGAATGTATATGAATAGCTTTGAAAGCTATAGAGTCTCTAGTGGAAAAACTACCACATTGGTAGTTTTACTTGGTGAAATGTGTATAAAGATAGGAGCCTCTCTCCCAAGGGCATGCCCCTTGGGGTGACCCACTTTTGTGGGAGAGGGAGGACCTAATGGACCACCACACACGCGCGCGCGCGCCGTCGGTTGGTTGGTTGGTTCACTTGAGACTATATATATATTTTTGGAGAAATTCCGAACGAAATTAATTATTTAATAATTAATTATTAATCTGTTATTCTGAGGTATATTCCTAAGGATAATCGACTAAAACGGAATATTCGAAGGATAATCCCTCCGGGTTTATCTTAACCGACGGTTTTAATTAAGGAAGTAATTATCTTCCTTAATTAATCCGACTTATTCCCCAAGCAAGAGGGTATATTCCTAGGGGTTCGGCTCCTATAAATAGCCGCCTCCCCAGCCCCTCTAAAGACATCACAACGAGCAGAAACACAATAGAGAGAGTGTTTAGAGAGCTTCGGTTTTCGCACAAAACCGCGAGTATTGAGAGGAGCTGTTTTATCCTGGAGACGGCCGGTTGATAGTCTGTCGTGCGCATAGAAGGCAGTGCCGCGAACGTCTTAAAGAAAGCGACCTAGTCCGCGACTCAGCTCCAGATTCGGTAACCTCGTTCCTTTTGTTGTTCTGTTCCTAACAATTTTAAGACGTTCGGCTGCTGCTATGTCGACTGAACAGAACAACATGGCCGGATCTGGTGCTGTCGATATCAATCGACCCTTTCGCTTCGTTGGGGTCAACTTCCGTCGCTGGAGGCAAAAGATGGAGTTCTACCTGACAACCAAGAAGCTGGCCCACTGCCTCACCAGCATGCCTGTCGAGCTGCCGTAAGAAGCGACCGATGAGGAGAGGGCTGCTTCTGCCAGGGAAAGGGAGCATGACTTCCTGTGCAAGAACTACATCCTCAACGGCCTGGCAGACGATCTGTACGACTACTATGCGGACAGTAAGAACACCGCGATGATGATCTGGGATGCGCTTCAAAAGAAGTACGACACGGAGGAGGCTGGAGCTAAGAAGTATGCTGTCAGCCGCTACCTGCGCTACCAGATGGTGGATGACAAGTCCGTCGAAGTTCAGTCCCACGAACTTCAGAAAATAGCTCATGAGATCGTCTCTGAAGGTATGCCTCTGGACGATCAATTTCAAGTTGCTTGCATTATTGATAAGCTGCCCCCTTCGTGGAAAGATTTTAAGAATATGCTTAGGCACAAAACCAAAGAATTTTCACTGGAAAGCTTGATTACTCGCCTAAGGATTGAGGAAGAGTCCCGCAAGCAGGATATGAAGGAAGAGGTGATGGTCGTCACTGCTAAACGACCCACCCCTAGAGCTCTTAAACCTAACCAGAAAGGGTTTAAGAGTAAGAACCAGCAGGTCCGCCCCCACCAGAATGGTGCCTCTCGAGGTAACCAAAGGGTCATGGCCCAAACCTCTAAGAATGACCCACCGTTTATCTGCTATAACTGTGGAAAACCGGGTCATATGGCAAAGAAGTGCCGGAACAAGCAAAACCCTGCCGCTGCGGCCAGGGTTAACTTGACAGAAGAGGATTTGATAGCCATGATCACAGATATGATTGCTGAAGTTAACCTCACCGGTGACTCAGAAGGATGGTGGCTGGATACAGGTGCATCGAAGCATGTATGCAACAATCGTGCTATGTTCAAAACATACACAGAAGCACCTGCTGACAAGAAAGTATTGTTGGGGACTACCCACACTACTATGGTTGCTGGTTCTGGTGAAGTGGAGCTGAACTTCACCTCTGGGAAGAAGATGGTGCTCAAGGATGTGTTGCACACTCCAGAGATAAGGAAGAATCTTGTTTCTGGATATCTTCTTAATAAGGCTGGGTTTAATCAAACTATTGGGGCAGACTTGTATACCCTTACTAAGAATGGGAGTTTTGTGGGAAAGGGATATGCATGTAATGGGATGTTCAAGTTGAATGTCGAAATTAATAAGATGAATTCTTCAGTTTACATGGTGTGTGATTTGAATGTTTGGCATGCTCGTCTTTGTCATGTGAACACACGAATTGTGAAGAATTTAAGCAAGCTAGGGCATATCCCTAAACTCTCAATGAATGAATTTGATAAATGTGATTTCTGTAGCCAAGCTAAAATAACGAAAACGCCCCATAAATCTGTGAGTAGAGAATCAGAACCCTTAGATCTTATTCATTCTGATATTTGTGAACTAGATGGGACGTTAACTAGGTCTGGCAAGAGATACTTATCACTTTCATAGATGATTGCTCTGATTATTGCTTTGTTTATTTGATGAAAAACAAAAGTGAAGCCCTTGATATGTTCAAGGTATTTGTGGTTGAATTTGAAAATCAGTGCAATTGAAAGATAAAAAGACTTAGGAGTGATAGAGGATCAGAGTATGACTCTAATCCCTTCAAGGAATTCTATAGCTCACATGGTATCATTCATGAAACCACGGCACCATATTCACCAGAAATGAATGGTAAAGCTGAGCGGAAAAATAGGACGTTTACAGAATTAGTCGTGGCTATTATGCTCAATTCTGGAGCTGCTTCTTCTTGGTGGGGTGATATTTTGTTGACAGTTTGCTATGTGCTAAACCGTCTTCCAAAAACAAATAGAAAAGAATCACCCTATGAGATCTTGAAGAATAAGCCACCTAATCTGTCCTATTTAAGAACGTGGGGCTGTTTGGCCTACGTAAGAATTCCGGATCCTAAGAGGATTAAATTGGCTAGTCGAGCATATGAATGTGTCTTCGTTGGCTATGCGGCCAATAGTAAGGCATATAGATTCTATGATTTGAATGCTCGTACTATAATAGAATCCATTGATGCTGATTTCTTTGAGACACGATTTCCATTTAAAACGAGAAATAGTGGGGGGAATGTACTACCCGCTATTAGAGATAACGGAACTAGTGGGGGTGTTGGTTCTGAGGATGAACTCAGAAGAAGTAAAAGAGCTAGAATCTCTAAAGATTTTGGTGATGACTTTACTACAGTATTCACCCTCGAAGATCCAAAAAGTTTGCAGGAAGCATTAACTTCCGTAGATGCAGATTTTTGGAATGAGGCCGTTATAGATGAAATGGAATCGTTAGAAGCTAATAAGACTTGGCATCTAACAGACTTACCTCCTGGCTGCAAAGTCTTAGGTAATAAATGGGTTCTAAAAACGAAACGGAAACCTGATGGTGCAATCGAAAGGTTCCGAGCTCGCCTAGTAGTTAAGGGCTACAGGCAGAGAGAGAATATAGATTTCTTCGATACCTATTCACCAGTATCTAGAATAACATCCATTCGTGTAATGATTGCTCTTGCTGCCTTGAACAATCTCGTGGTACACCAAATGGATGTTAAGACCGCTTTTTTGAACGGTGATCTAGATGAAGAAATCTATATGGAACAACCAGAAGGGTTTGTTATCCCTGAACATGCCTCGAAAGTCTGTAAGTTAGACAAATCATTATATGGTTTGAAACAGGCTCCAAAACAGTGGCATGAGAAGTTTGACACTCTCGTTCTCTCACATGGCTTTAAGGTGAATGAAAGTGACAAGTGTATTTACTGCAAGTCAGAAAATAACACTTGTACTATCATATGTTTGTATGTAGATGACATGTTGATATTTGGTACAAATATTCACGTGGTCAATGAAGCAAAAGCCATGTTAAAAGAGAGCTTTGAAGTGAAAGATCTGGGAGAAGCAAAGTTTATGCTTGGAATCCAGATAACTAGAACAGCAAATGGTTATTCTCTAGATCAATCTAGCTACATAGAGAAGATCTTGAAGAAGTATAACTATTTCGACTGTAAACCTGCGTGTACTCCGTATGATGCTAGTGTAAAGCTATTTAAGAACACTGGAGACAGTGTAAGACAATCAGAATATGCTAGCATCAGTGGCAGTCTCCGTTATGCTGCGGATTACACTCGACCAGACATTGCATATGTCGTGGGATTGCTTGGCAGGTTTAACAGCTGTCCTAGTAGAGAGCATTGGAATGCTATAGAGAGGGTCATGAGATACCTCAAGAGAACAGCAAACCTTGGTATACATTATCAAAGGTTTCCTGCTGTACTAGAAGGGTATAGTGATGCGGATTGGAATACCCTATCAGATGACTCCAAGGCAACCAGCGGGTATGTTTTCAACATCGCTGGTGGAGCTGTGTCTTGGAAGTCAAAGAAACAAACAATCCTAGCTCAATCAACTATGGAATCAGAGATGATAGCACTAGCAACGGCTAGTGAAGAAGCAAGTTGGTTGAGAGGATTGTTGTCAGAGATTCCCCTATGGGAAAGACCGGTCCCTCCGGTATTGATCCATTGTGATAGTACCGCAGCTATCGCTAAAGTTGAGAACCGGTTCTATAACGGAAAGAAACGACAGATTCGTCGTAAGCACAGTACTGTAAGAGAACTCCTAACGATAGGAGCAGTGAGGGTGGATCATATAAGATCCGAACAGAATCTAGCTGATCCTTTGACGAAAGGATTACCTAGAGAGAAAGTCCAGAATACCGCCAAGGGTATGGGACTTATGCCTACCGAACCACGGACTACAAGTGATGGTAACCCGACCCAATAGACTGGAGATCCCAAGAAATGGGTTCAATGGGTAATAACAAGTCATGAGTAGTATGCGAAAAGTTCATGCATAGTGAAGCATGAATCCCAAAGCAATGGAGGTTGAGTTAATAACTCTTAATGAGATCTATACCCTATGTGGGGTGGAGTACTTTACTTTGGGGGTACTCTTGATAGACTCACCTATGTGAATGTGGGAGTGGGGCCGCTCCCTATGGAACTTTGGAGGCACAAAGTTGCTAGAGCGTTCACTAAACCAGGGTAACGTGCATGGCCATAAACGCACGGGCTATGAAGAGAACACAACTCAATGAAAAGATCCGGTGTGCTACACTGTCTGAGATAGGGTTCAAGACTACGAGTCACCCTTATGAAATCGGAAGTGTAACCACTACGCTAAGGTTCAAATCTTCGCGATACCTTAGCTTATGCCCGATCTTATGGAACTGTTGATGCTCAGAGATAGTTTCAAAACTATTCAAGTGGGGGATTGTTGGAAATGAATGTATATGAATAGCTTTGAAAGCTATAGAGTCTCTAGTGGAAAAACTACCACATTGGTAGTTTTACTTGGTGAAATGTGTATAAAGATAGGAGCCTCTCTCCCAAGGGCATGCCCCTTGGGGTGACCCACTTTTGTGGGAGAGGGAGGACCTAATGGACCACCACACACACGCGCGCGCGCGCGCCGTCCGACCGGTCGGTCGGTCGGTTGGTTGGTTGGTTGGTTGGTTCACTTGAGACTATATATATATTTTTGGAGAAATTCCGAACGAAATTAATTATTTAATAATTAATTATTAATCGGTTATTCTGAGGTATATTCGAAGGATAATCCCTCCGGGTTTATCTTAACCGACGGTTTTAATTAAGGAAGTAATTATCTTCCTTAATTAATCCGACTTATTCCCCAAGCAAGAGGGTATATTCCTAGGGGTTCGGCTCCTATAAATAGCCGCCTCCCCAGCCCCTCTAAAGACATCACAACGAGCAGAAACACAATAGAGAGAGTGTTTAGAGAGCTTCGGTTTTCGCACAAAACCGCGAGTATTGAGAGGAGCTGTTTTATCCTGGAGACGGCCGGTTGATAGTCTGCCGTGCGCATCGAAGGCAGTGCCGCGAACGTCTTAAAGAAAGCGACCTAGTCCGCGACTCAGCTCCAGATTCGGTAACCTCGTTCCTTTTGTTGTTCTGTTCCTAACATTAAGTGCCCAGCCAATCAACCACGCAGCACTGGAAAGACCATGATTAATGCCGAAGCTCATTACTGACTAATAATACGGAATCAACAACCTATTACTATTACCCTTCTCCTATGCAGATATAAGCATAGTGATAGGCACTTCCAGCAGAAGGACACCGGCTTGCGAGTTCAGCATAACAAAATGCAGAGAGAGCTGCTGCTATTGCAGCAATAAGGAATGAAACCGTCAGAGCAGGTCCTGCCTGCTCTCTTGCAACTGTTCCAACAACGAATACCCCTGCACCAATAGTTGCTCCCACACCTATGTCAGGGGAAGCACAAAGTACATTATATGCTGATCTAATCACTAAATTCTAATGTGCTGCAAAGCAAGAGTTTCCAATTAACATGCACTAAAAGTTAAATGCAGAATTCAAAAGGATAATTACATTATAAGTATAGCCTTCATGATAACCCCATTGCCATACCAAAATAAACGTCCTCAATTTTCAAGTTCTAAGCCACATTGCAGTGATCATATAATGTGTTATTATGGCGACTAATTACTCCACCAAGAAGAGAGACAAACTCCAGCAAAATCAAAATTCCTGAATTAAGAATCGGGAAGACTCCATTGTAAATCCCAATCTCCGCGACCTTACCCTATAATCGCTAAACTAAATCAGCCAAAAAATAAGAACAGACCCTACAAAGATAGTGAAAAAGTTTCAATTTTTTAGGCTTACTCACAGACATAGTTATAACTTTCACGATTTTGACAAATATAGCAACTTTTTGAATAATACACAGATATAGCCACACTTTTAAAATATTGTTGATTAATCTAGCAATTTCCCTCTAAACATTTAACGGTGTTAACGTCCCTGTCAATTAACTGGACGATTAGCTGATCTGTCCGCCATATGGATGGCACGTCCTTGCCAACAAGACTGACTAAACGACGTGGACGCCACGTCAGATAATAAATTAATTTTTTTAATTTTATTGTTATATATCCTTCTTCTCCTTCATCATCACATTCTCTTCCTTTTCCCTTCCTCACTTATTTTCTAGGATTCAGACCTCTCCACCCCGCCGGAGGGGCTTTTCCCCAAATCCCATCTATCGATTCCTCCTCTCCACCACAACTCATCTCTGTCGCCGACGCCTCCCGCTCAGCCTACCAATATCGCCTAAATCGCCTCCCCTTCTACTCTCCCGATTCCAATAGCTCAGACTCCATATCCTAGCCGAATTCCCCAATCCGCGTTGCTGCATCTCCTTTTCCAACAGTTGGAAACATGTCGCAGAGGGCTCGAAAGAAGGTGGATTTCAATGTTGTGGATTCAAGTTCAGCAGTACCAATAGTGGAGTTGTCGTCCATTGCGAGCACAACGTTCCATGTATGGTTAAAACATCGGGTACTTATACGAACCCAGGTCGACAATTCTACGGTTGTCCTTATTGGAAGGTAAGCAATAGATTCTTACTTCTCTCTACTGGTTTTTCCTTCCTCATTTGATAGTGAAACTTATTATGTTGCTGCAGGATAGGAAAAAAAGTGTCGTTTTTTTAGGTGGGTGGAATCAAATGATGAAGAAACTATAGCATGGATGAATGAAGTGGGTTCTATTCAGAATCTGGAACAGAATTTGATGCTAGCAGAAAGGAAGACATAAATGTAACACCCCGAATTTTGGGTTCAGGTTCGACCAAAATACGTGAACGGTTGAGTTAATGGTTACGTACGAAGGATTACAATCGCGGGCTAGGAATAATAATAATAATAATAACATAATTTTTATTATTATTTTTTTTTAATATATAAAGCAATGAGACGGGAGGCCCGAGCAGCCACACCTTCCCAAATTCCCCCCCCCCCCCCAAACAAAATCAAACCACCGCCGCCCTTGTTTTCCCCCGTAGGAGAGGCAAAGCGGAGGAATGGAAGGGGAGATGAGAAAAGGGGATAGAAGCGAGCCCATTGGAGTGGAGATTGGATCCGTGGCGTGGAGTTAGGGTTTAGGCGAAGCGATGATATGGAGAGGGGAGGTAGTCTGAGCTGTAAGTAATTTGAAGCCCAAGTCTCTCCCCACCAAAGTCCCAAGCCTCCTCTTCTCCCTATGTCTCTTCCAATTCGCAGTCACTGAAAAGGATTCCCCGGTAGAGAAGGAAGGAGATGAGGACAAGCACAACCCCCCTGCTCCGCCAGAAGAAGACACCTTGAGGGATTTATTATTTCACCACCTAGGACTCGAGCAACAACGAGGAGACAGTTGGGGATTAAGCTGGTGGCCCCACGCTGATTGTTGCCTCTCGATCGACCGGTGGTGAGAGTTTGCGGCAACAATTGATTTTAGTGAAGGGAAATCAATCTTGGACAGTAGCTGATCAAATTCAATTAGTTTCAACATAAGGTGAGTGTGAAGGGGGTAAATTCTACGCCTTACGTATTCTTTTAAGTATTATGATTTTAAGTATTTTAGTAAATTGATTATCATTGCTGGATTATGTTTATGATTGATTATTTGTGCTTTTTTTTAGGTGATATGAGGTGATTTTGTGCTATTTACCTTAAAGCGTTAGGTTATGAGTTATTGTTAAAGTTTAAGGAACAAGTTCTTTTTAAGAAGTAACTCACCTTCAAGAAGGTGAAGTCGTTTTAAGTGTTTTCAGTCACTAGCGCCAGTCCGTTGCCATTTGAGATTTTCAGATAGAGCAGCAGTTATGCTCTTGAGACTTTTAAGATGAGCAGCAGTTATGCTCTTGAGAATCGTGTTGAAGAGCCACCGCGATAAGTTTAAGATGTTAGGGGATGAATCGTTACGACTTCCCTAACTAAGTTTAAGTTTAAGGAAAGCCTTGATGGCTTCTCGTACGTATGAGTTGGCAACCGGACTAGCTAGTGGGGGATCCCAGTGTCAGTCAAGTATTTAAGTTGAGATTTAAGCTTTAAAAATGGAGAGTAACAGTTACTCCCGTACAGTTTTAAGAGTTGAGATTTTTAAGAATGGAAGTACAAACAACTTCCCTCAGTTTGAGTTTAAGTGTTTGAGAAGAAGTGCAAAATTATTAGAAAGTTTAAAACGTAAGGGCGTAGACTGACCCCATCTCACTCACCAGGACTTAGTAAAGGAATAAGCGAGAACTAGATCGATAGTTGCAGCTAGAGGAGCAGTTAGTGAGCAGCGTGACCGAGAAAGCTGTTCGAGGCAAGCCAGCTAGAGGAGGTCAGTATAAGCGTCACAGAGGATGCTTAGTCAAGGTTTCAGTAGCAACCACATTAGAGATTATTAGGTATTTACATTTATGATTATGAGTATAGACTGGAGATCAGATTGAGATTTTAAAGTTTGAGTTTAATTTGCCCACGTGTTAGGGCTTTGCTCCAAGCTATAAGTGTGTGTTTTCAGTATGAAAATTTTTCCCGCTACAATTTAAGATTTGAGTATTTTATTTATCAAGGTCATTTTAGTAAAAGTAGTACCCGGTTGGGTTAGGGTGTTACAATAAATGAGGAAGAAGGAAAAAAGAATTGTTGACAGAAGAACTAAGAAGATTGATGGGGGTTCATGAAGTTATGGAAGTCGGCGTTGGGAGTTTGGTTGACGATTTGCGTATCATTCGATATATGTTGATCGTTGTTGTCTTGATGAATGCTATTTTGATTGTAGTTCTTTGGAGGGCAGAATTTTGTATGTAGTTATGTGACTTTGTCAGATTTTGAGGATTTCTGTTGGAGGCCAGAAATGTAGTTGTTGGCTTTTGTGGGTGTTTAGCCAATTCGTAATTGTGTCTGTTGGATTCAGAAACTTAACTCATGTATGCAAAGCTTTAAGTGTAATGTTGTTTGATTATTAGTGTACGATGTGGTCTTGGTATTCCCTTTAAAAATGCACATGAAAGCAGCATATATTTGCTATTTTGATTTATACATTATACACTTGTGCAAGGGGGGGGGGGAATCAAAATGGTGTTCATTACAAAGTACAACATACACCTGCCATGATAGTTAACATTTTGCTTGGGTCCATAAAATGATGTTTATATCCACCAGAACTTCACTACTAGCTAACTAACCTACTTTCTAAAAACTGCTTCATGAGTCATGTAATCGTCACTATATAGCAACGTGCACACAAGTGTCTATTGTTTACCTTACACAAGAGATGACTCAAAAAATGCTTCTGAATCATATCTAAGGTTGCGTATGTGGTGGCTGGCTTCCCTGCAAGTCCACCTCAGTTGGCTGAGGTCCACGAACTGGCCTGCCACGAGCTCCATTAAGCTGAAATGAGAAACAAACATATTAATACCCAATTTCAGGCAAATTCA